GAGAGAGAGAGAGACGAGAGAGAGAGAGAGAGAGAGAGAGAGAGAGAGAGAGAGAGAGTACCCTTGCAGGTGATGACCTGACCTTGTGTTGCCATGACTCCACTGGTTCAAGAGCTGCAAAAAACCGACACGAGTATGAATTAAACAGTAGATTCCAGAAATGCCTTTAGACCACTTAAAAAGAATACTGCGCCGGCTTGTTTGCTTTTGAAAAATTTACCAATATATCCCATTTAGAAGTTGTAAATACGAAAATCCTTTAAATTATTGTAGATGAGTGATGTTGTGGTTTTAATAAGGTTGCAACCTTAAGGTGCACCTCTAAATTTGGTCATAAATATAATTTTGGTATCAAAACTTCTTATTGTCTTCTCTAATTATAAAATTTTAAATTTTAAAAATGGTTCAAATCAAGTAGATCAATATATATACATGAAAATCTTGAAAATGAACGCTCCAGATAATGTTTTGCAAGATATATTTTTCGGGCTTTAAATCTTTTTTTCTTTTCATATTCATATATCTCTAAGTAGAGATGATAAATTAGAGGGTTTTTTTACATAAAAAAAACCTTTAATGGTGGATTTTTTTTGTTGCACCTTTAATTCTACATTTTAAGGCTGCAACCTTTTATAAATTTTTTCCTTCACGTTATCATGTCACTGTAAGTAGTTGGATTACGTGTGTTGCATGTAGGAATGAAACACGTAGGAATGAAATAAGATATCACATGAATAATCACGTGAATATGCAATAAATAGTACATTGAAATGTAATGAGCATTCATGTAAATGTACAATTGCAAATTTTAGAAGTAGAGAAATAAGTAATTATTGTTCTTCTCTTATCATAGATACTTATAAAAGTCGGTATGGTGCAATACATTTGAGATTATATGTTCAAACAATTTTCTATATCACCTTACATGAACCTCACCCTTAATTATTTGATTCATATATAAACGCCTAACAACTATTTTTTTATCATAATAGTAACTATAGAGTCTTTAACAAACATATCACTTGCACAAAATTTGATCTTCACCGTCGTAGATCTAATACTTCACTTCCTCAAAATCTCTATAGCTATGATTGCATATTGGTACTTGGCTTCGGACTCACCATATTAAATGGGTCTTTGCCTCTAATGAAATCCTGTACATATGTCAAAAGAGAGACCAATACCACCATCATGCAATAAAGTCAATTAAATATCTCCTCTCCTCTATAGTGACTCCTTGTTCTTTCTGCACACATAAAAACCTAGAGAACTGATTTCTAGAGAGTTGCCTCTTCTCAACGACATCAAATTAAGCAATTCGATGGAGTTTCCTTCTCTCTCCCTTTCTCTATCATGTGGAATGCTCTTATATATGAAAACAATTTTAGATGTGGTATGCATATCTTTTTCTCTCTTAAATTTTATTTCTCCTATATATATTACTATAACAAAGTAGGCTAATTTTTAATTTTTATTTATTTACTTATTATAATAAGATATGTTCTTGTTATAACTTAAAATAGGTGTTTACTCTATTTCTCTTCTCCTAAATATGGTAACATCTTTCTTAATGAATTAGATTATTGGATCAATTTTAGATAAGAATCAATTGTATAGATTGCTACTAAACATGGTATCACCCTCTCTCAACTTTGAAAGTATGTTTACACATACTCTCTCTCTCTCTCT